ATCTAAAACATATATTTTTACAGATAAGTGTTTTAGCTGATTATTTTTCAATGGGTATGGACAAAGGAAACCAAGTCAGTGACCCGCAGAGAGGCTTTGAGGGACCCTACATCCTGGAATTGCACATGTCATCACAAAAGCATTGTATGGAAGGGAGAGTAAACAAGAAGCAAGTTACGTTATGAATACCTGAGACTAAAACCATAAACAAGCAGAGCCAAACTGTTTTTGTCCCATTGGCTATTGTCCTGATTAGAAGAGTCTATCTCTTGTACTTTCCATATGGTTCAAGCAAAATTAGATCAGTTATATTTTTAAAAAGAGAGAGAGAAAAAGAAAACAATAAAAGAAGCAGTGACTTTTGGGACCAATGAGTAAGTAATGGATTTTAAGCAAAATTCTCTTCCCTCTGATGGGGAGATGAGGGAGATGGCATGTCTTTCCAGGTATTTCCAAAGCTTTTCCTGGGGGTACAGCCCTAAGAGAGAGCCCTTCTCTCTCTGAGGCGAGAGAAGGTGTTGTATGGACAAGGAGCTGCACAACAGGACTAGAGCTGCTCACAATCAATTCCTCATGTACACGTGTTTACCCAAATTATCTCATTTAATCTGAATTCTAACCCTGGGAGGTAGATGCCATTATTTTCAATTTATAGATAGGGAAATTGGGCCCTGATTATGTCATTTTACTCTGCTGGGCCTCTGATAATTAAAAAGTGACAGAGCAAAGTTACACTGACACTTTAGTCTCCAAATGAGTTGAACTCTAGCTGAGGCTTTCCTCCCTTTTTTGTGTACCATGTTCCATTGGTTCCTCTCTGAATGAACCTATATCTCATCGTGATATATGGTCTGAAACACAGAGGCAAAGAGCATTTTAAAGGGTGCTCTGCGACTGAAAGAAAGTGGTAATTAAAGTAAGTTTAAGGGACATCAAGATACAGTAGTACTTTGGGAGGTATTTACTGGGCTACATCTGGTCCCCTTTGGCAGTACTGTAGGAGCAGACAAGAGAATTTGGCAGGATCTGGTGTAACTGGATGAAGCATTTCCATTGCTTATGCTCGCCCTCTGGCTTCCTTCCCTCTGAACAAGGCCTATCATTGTAAAGCGCTGGTGAGCAGCACAGCATGAGAAGCTGGGGCCGGGAAGCTGTCTGTCGAGCAGCCTTATTTCAGTCCGGTGGAGGAAGCAAGGGCTTCCGACCATGGGCTGCTGAACAGGTGGGTCAGCAGAGCAATGGCACGAGGAAAGCTCTGGGCCAGTGAGTCATGAGCACACTGGGGAAGTTAGATCCTAAGCCATTCTGGACATTGTGAATACAGGAGCCCTATTGGCATGACCGTCAGGCTCTACTGACTCTCAGTGATGTGTGGTTCAATCAGTTTTATGTTTTTAGTATAATGAAGAGAACCTGTCTTATTGTAAAGAAGACATGAATTCTATCTTTATATCTGCACTACTTTGCTGAGTATCATTCAAAAAGGCACTTTCCTCTCTAGGTCTCAGTTTATCCCTTCACAGAAGAAGGGAGTTCTCTTCTAGTACTGTCCATACTCGTAATCTCTCAATAATTTGGGAAATGGTAATGTGCATTCCATGTCTCTGGAAATCATAACAAGCCAGTAAGACATGCCATAAAGTGTTTCACTTTTACAGTAAGAAACTTGTGGTCCAGGATGACTAGCTGAAAGTCAGAGATCTTCTAATTCCTGGCTCAATATTCTTTCTTTCCAAGGCACAATCTGTCACCACCTTAACTTGCAGTGTGTTTTCATCCCAGACAACTCGATAGGGTGACTCTCAGAGTTGCAGCTGTTGCCCAGGAGGAAAGGAGCAAATCTGGAAGCAGTTCTCACTTCTGTAGATTAAGGCACCCTGTATCATGGTAACAGGAGCCAGGGGAGGTGACTTTTATCCAGTCCCTCTCCCTGAGCTCTTTCAGTGGCAGATAAGCAGTTATTCTCAAACTTTAATGCAGAGGAGAATCTTCTTATGGTGCAGATAGCTGGGCTCTAGCCCCAGAGTGCTTCTGCAGGCTTAGTTATTAGGTTAGAATTACCTTAGAGGAGACAATTCTGATGCAAACAGTGTCCTCACTACTGGTGAGAAACCCTGCATAGAAATAGCTCAAAGCCAACTCCACTCTCTGTTATCTGCCTTTGCTTCCATCTACTATGAAGAAATCTGACAGATAGGTGCTAGTGGTAGATACAGAGGCATATTCTTAGCCATGGTTTACCCAAATGGCCCAATTGATTCATACTTTTTCACAGCCTTATTTCACTTTCATCCTTTCAAATCGGGTAGAGCAACTTAACCAACCCAGACAAAAAATTAACATGAGAACAACTCAGATCCCACTGGGAAGTAAAAACCAATACATTTTAAAAATTCACCTTGTCTTGGGATGGATATGATAGACACTTTACCTTACTTGGGAGCTCCAAACCATTAAACATCTTTTAAAGAAGTGTAGGCACTTTGTTGTATGAACCGTTAATCAGACCAAAAAAGCTCACTACTTGTTTTAGAGATATTTAAGTAACATTTTTAATATTTGAGAAAGGTACTCATTTTTCAAAAGTGAGTATAACTCAAGAAAAGCTATATGAAGAATCATACATAAATTTTAAATCCCTAGATCAAAAGAATACTATCTTTGTTTAATCCTTTATCTTCAATGGGAGTTCAGAAAATATGATTTCAGAATAGTCAGCTAGTTTTCAAAATATGGAAGCAAATTATTGACTTAAACTTTCTGGTATTTTGGGTTTCTGGGATCCATGCAAACTTATGACATATTTCAAACACTAAAAAAATAATTTTTTAAAAAAAAATCAATTTAAAGCCCTTATTCTGGATGCTTAGTTCACATTCCCTTATTTACTTAGTGTGGACAAAAGCCACTCACTCAGCAAAGGGCCAAAGAAGGAGATTTGCTGTTGGTTTCATGAATCAAACAGCAGGAAGAAAGAAAAAAAAAAAGGAACATATGTCTTGTTGGTTTCCACTCTTTTTTTCATTTCTGCTGCTTAAATCTTCAAAACCTGAGTTGGAGTTCCATCTCTGTCACTCACTGGGAACTGATATCAGATTCAAAGGCTTGCAGTTACCAAGACCTCTGCTTAGATATCCTAGCCATACATGTTTGGATAGGAAACTTGGATACTGGTTCAAATGGATTACTGAATGAAAGCTCCCCATGGGGTCATGGAAAGTAAGCAGTTACAGTAGATTGGATTATTGTTCTCAGTTCTTCATGCCCTCCCTATGTTAGTATTATTCATCAACACCTTTTGTTATGTAACATAGTAGTGCCTCGCACCAGAATAGGAAGAATCTATTTCCCTCACCATTGGCCATTTATGTTGGACTTGGCCATGTGATTTTCTTTAGTCAGTTGAATGCGGGTGAAGATAAATAGACTGACCATGTTGAGGCACAGAGTGTTCTGCTGGTCTCATTTGGAATTCTGCAATCCACCATGAAGAAAATGCCCTGGGTAGTGGATGGTCCCAGAATGACAGTGACTCATGGAGCAGACTTGAACTACCTGAAGCCTGTATCCAGACTAGCCCAGCAGAGCCTGGTCAGTACTGGCCTGAAGACTCATGAGGAATATCAACAGATATTTATCTGTTGCTATAAAACAAGACCTTTTTTTTTTTTTTTTTGCCATGTAGCATTATTGTAGCAATAGTTGACAGATATAATAGGTAAAGAAAACTGCTCAAAGAGAGAAAGCTCAGCCAAATATGTAGCTTTGAGGTACAAAAATACATTTATTTTCAACAATTTCAAAACCACTGTCTTTTTTTTTACAGTAGAAATATTCAAATGGAACAATAAAACCAAGAACAGTATATGTACATATACTGTATATATAGATATGACTCATGCATTTGTATTCCAGTGTTTAGTACAAGGATTGCAATTGTCTGCCCCATTTAACCCTTGAAACAAAAAAAACAGGATCTTTAGAAATACTCCTAATACTGATCTATGCTGTAGCCAGCCACGTTCTTCTATATCACATTCTCTCTGTGTCTCACAAAGAATGCGAAAAACAACCCACAAAAATGAACAGGTACAAAAAGTGGCCTTTCCTCCCGTATGTATATACAATATATCCTTTTAAAAAATAACGGTGTTCAAGGTAAGCCTGAAAATGAAAACAATGCTTATGGCATGTAAAGAGACCCTACAGAAAAGGATGGAGACGAGTAAATACGTGAAGGGGCTGAAGTGTGGAAAAAGCAAACAAAGCGGCTCTGAAAGCCACTCATCCCAGAGGCAAAAACTACCTTAAGGGAACTAAAGGCAGACATTTGACTTTAAGGAAGTCGTGTACATCTGACAAGCAAATGGCACAGCTTTGCTAAAATCGTCTTTGACTAATATCATTAAAGGCTAGACTTCCCAACCTGCCTCATTCCTCCCGTGCCAAGAGGCACTTGCTGGGCTAAGCATAGTGCCCAGAGGACTTTTCTGAGCTAAGAACAGCCTGAGAATTCACCACAAGCTTTATACATTTCCATGGAATCCTATCAGAAGACAGAATAATTGCCATTTATAGATCCATTGCCTGGCTTCTTTACAGAAAATTATTTTCTCAGGCTGATAAACATCCTCTGCTTTTTAATTTTAGAGAGGAAGCTTTACTTCCACATCTGGATCTCAGTTTGAAGTCTCTCGTGGACCTCATCTTGCAACTTCTTCCATGTCACTGTTGGAACAAAAACGACCCCTGTGTTTTATGATGTCACTAGGGTCCTTCCTTTATCAATTGCCCCAAAGAAGCCCTCCCCCCACCCCCCATTATATACATAAGTAGAAACCAGCTATGGCGTGGACACGGAGATGCAAGAGTTAAGTGTGACAGACATCTGGAGAGCTTCCAGAACCCAACACATCAGGCAGGCCTGGGGATGCTGGCTCTGAGGGTGAATGTCTGAGCCAACACACGCATCTTTCTTTTTTCTGTTTTCTTTTTTACTAAACATTAAATTATTTCTTAGGAAATAAAAAGCTATTTACATTGTAATTATATACAATCAGCCATCTGTAGCCCTGCTATTGACATGCACGAGGCAGGGCCTCTTTCATAAAGGTGTGCACGCTTTCTGTAGCTAAGTCCACTCTCCACCAAACTCCCTCCTGCAGATCTAACTTGGAAATGGTTTGTGTTGTATGTATGCACACTGGGGTGGGGGAGAGTGTAGGTGATGTTTTGAGGGGTAAGGAGTTAATGAAATCCAACCCAATTTAAATTAAAAAAAAGAAAGACCACCAGGAAAAAGAGAGTCCTACCACTACAAATGGCAGAATAAAGGCTGTGGGAAGATGCACCCTTTGCCCATAGCCCAAATACAGCCATTTATTCTTTTTTGTCTCATTTTAATCAGCTAAGAATGCCTTTTTCTCCCAAAGCTAAGCATTTGCCTACTATTTATGAAGGGGCCCTAGGTAAACAAAAGGTAAAAAAGACATTTTCATTTTCCCATAATAATAGTAATAGTAAACATCAAAAATAAAAAGTCAAAAAGGTGGTTGACCACGTGGCTTGTTGGTATTAAACACTAGTACAGTTGGGGATCTCCTTTGTGCTTTCACTGTTTGCAATGGTGGCAATGCCTCCTGCAGGGGAGAGAAGACACAGGAAGAAAGAGATGTAAGTTCCACAAAGGCAGGGATCTTTGTTTTATTTGCTGCTAAATGCCAAACCACCTAGAACACGTGCCTAATAGGTGTTTATTAAATAGTACATCTGGATATTCTTACCTATCAGCTCACTGGCTTATCTCATCTATATTTAATGTATGCCACCTGCCACACTAGCACACAGGTAAGACCAACACATTGGCTGCCATCCTATATTCTACTAATAACAATAGACAACAGTGATAGCCAACATGTTTTGAACACTTACTATGTGACAGGTACTGTGCTAATGATATACATCACTTAATTATCACAACAATCTTAGAATAGATTCTTAGGTACTATATAGAAATAGAATAGACTCTTAGGTACTATAATTCCCATTTCATAGATGAGGGATATAGGCACAGAGAGATCACAGAGCGAGCAGATTAGCAGAGAAAGAAAATGGACCCAGGCCTATCTGATGCCAGATTCCACATTCATGTGATTATTCATAAGGACGTGTAATGCTTTTTATTTACAGAAAAAAAAAAAAAAGAACAAGTCCGACAGTAACAAATAGTTGGCTTCATCCCTCCCCCACCCAACCCCAGGGCTTTCAATCATGATTGACTTCTAAGGGAATAAATTCTGCCAATTTCATCTGACCCAAGGTGGCAGGCAAATCTTAACACGTGATTATGTTACTGCAGCCAAATGCATTACCGCACCCTCCAGTCCGTGCCGTCTGAAGGACAGGTGAAGTGAACTGGAAGATCTAGTGTTTGGAGGACAGAGGACACAGGGGTGTGGTGGCAGGGGCACACATACCTATGACCCGGCTGTCCAGCTCTTTGTCCAGCAGCTCCTCGGGCTCGGTGAAGTCACTGAGTGTAATTTTGGGGGCGTTTTCACTTTGGCTCACTGACCCAATCATCTCCTGTTCCTTGTCATGCTGGACTTGAGCATAGATGTTAATCCAGGGAATTTTCCTGCATGGGCAGGGGCAAAATCAGATTAAGATCACAGGGCACGCCAAGCTTGGGCAATTGGAAATTCTGGATAATAAGGGGAGGAAGAAGCTATTAACAGGAAGAGCCAATGCCAGGAAAAGGTACTGGTCACCTAGAGACACTGTGACCAGGAGGCCAAAGAACACAAGGTCAGCCAGAGACCCAGATGCTTAGGGGAGATGTAAACCACAGAATTCCCTGTGGAATGTATCTTCTCCTAGGGTAAAAGGTAAGCAGGTGTTATTGATCAGTTCTGCACTAACACCCTTAATATATTTACCTGTTGTTATTGTTTGCAAAGTCAGTGGACTTTGAGAGTCATAAGGTTGTACATAGTGAAAAGACATCTTTTTCTAGGGTTGTATCAATTTAATTAATTCGCATTGGCTTCTTTCATGAATATCCAAGAAATAATAGATTCATAGCCACTGCTACAATTTTCAGAGCAACACCCATGGACCTTAAATTCTTTGATAGTCAGTTTCCTCCTCTGTTCGATGGGGATAACAATACTTTCCTTTTAGGATTATGGAGAGGATTAAGGGAAGGATTAACACAAACCAAATAATGTCCTTCAATGACAGAAAAGCAGTAGGTTTGGAAACACAAGGCAGACTGGCTGGAGGCTGGAGGGACAGGTAGGTTCAAATTGAAATCTTCTTGGGCATTCATCTCCTGACCCATCTCCATTATCTCCTGACCTACGGTGTTCCAGCCTCTGTAGCATCCCGTGAATTCTTCTAATCTGGTGCTTCTCAAACTTTAATGTGCTCAGGCATCACTCAGGGTCCTTGTTAAAATGTGGATTGGGCTGTTGGTCTGTACTGTATGGGTTGAGGGCCTGCATTTCATACAAGCTCATGGGTGATGCTGGTGCTGCTGGCTGGTTGGAGACCCAAACTTTGAGTTGTAAGATTAATACGTGAAGCTCTCTTCCCCTTCTTGGGGACTTTGAACAAACTGTTTCCTCTGCCCATAAAATACCTCTCCCTCCTCTTCTCATGATGGTTTTATTCTTTTCCTTCAGAACTTGGCTTACAGGTTGTCTCTGAGAGGCCCCCCCTGACCACCCAACCCCCCCTGTTATAAATATGTAATTATAGGACAATGTCTATGAAAAAAATAATTAAGGTGTTGGGTTAGGGTGAGGCAATGTTTATTGACTTGTTTTCTGTCTTTCTTTCCCCCTGGACTAAAGCACCATGTAGATAAGATCTGTGATTTCTATCTTCATTGTTATACACTTAGCACGGTGCTTGGCACATATTTTACATTCATTAAGCATTTTTGAATGAATGAATACATGACCTCAAAGTCTGTGCTTTTTCTACATTCCTAAATTATGTTCTTCAATAAAAAGACTACATTTTTTATCTTTGAATATCATACCTAGAACAAGCCCCTTTTACCTCATCAAATGATGGGGAAAATGAACTAAAGTCCAGATATTTCACAAAGCCAATTACTAGCCTAAATATCATTACAACTTGGGACATCTGACACCTACCCCAATCCAGAACATTCATGCATTTCTAAAATAGAATCACTCTGTTGTCCTAGTACCAACCGGTGGTATTTTCAAGCTTCTACATTCCCATCCTCACTCCAACCTCAAATGAAATAGACTGTGGGGGCATTTAATACGGTTTTCCTGTAGCCAATTCATAAAGTAAAGTCCAAAAATAGGTTTAAAATGTGGTAGTTTCTACCTTTCCTTTATGTTCAGTTTTTGTGTCTTTAATATTTGCTTTCCATATATTAAGGGAGGTATTCCCATGATTCCTACTGGTCTAAGCCACTTTAATGTAATTTACAAGAACCTTAAATGAATAAAATCCATGCAGGCAGCAAACCAGGCACTGTAAATGTATATAATTAAAATTTTATGCTGGCTCTTACTTTCTTCTTAACTAAGTAAAAATGCAGTATCACAACTTAGATTTCTTCCATTCATAAAGGTACATATTACTGGTGAGTGTTGGGATCAACTGTAATATTTGTTAGCTGCTGGGGCGGTCAAGCCATTCTGGATTGTACAAGTCTGTGTCTGCAGGATCGAAACCAGTGTTCATTGCCTCCCCTTTGCCCTTACTAAGGATACCTAAGAGGAGGTGGAGGAACTTGCCCTTATAAAGATTGTTCACTTTATTTCAATTTCTAAAAAACACATCTAAAAACAGGCATATTTTTCATCTCTTTTGAATAGACGGTTGTATGGGAATGAATGTTATATCACAATTTGCAGCATTTAAAAAAATGATCAAGTTGCTTTTCATCTCTTAACACACCTGCTTGTGGGACTGTGGAGAATGTAAGTCATGTCTGAAGAATACTTTTGCATAGAAGAAAGGAAGAAAATAAAGAGATCAAGAGATGTGTTTTGGGCCACAAACTCACAGAGATTTAAATAAGAGGAGTAATACAGATAGGCCCAAATCTCCCCCCCAAAATCAAAAACAAAACAAAAAACAACTGCAGTTCTTGTCTGTTTACTCCAGCTACGACGGGTGTGAGAAGCCTGTGGGAGGAAATTTAGAGACAGCAAAGCGGGCTTTGGACTGTAATGAAAGCTGTACTTAAAAAAAGATTGAAAGAAATATAAAAGCTCAAATGTTTTCTTGAATAACTAGAAAAAGTAGATCTACAGTTATAAAATGTCAGGGGAGGCAGTTTTCAGAAAGTAAACGCCATCTCCTAACTATTTAATTATATTGCCTGAGATATTAGAAAACAGCAGTCACTACCCACGAGCAAGATGGGATGTGATATTTACTTAGAGGAAGCTTGGGGCTCATAGTAACTGTGCTCTACTTCTCCCTATTAAGTGACCACTTGGGACACTGAGATCATTTTTAGAGCCTGGAACATAGCAGGCACTCAGTAAATGTTTGTTGAATGAGTGAACGGTTTAATGTGTTAATGCTAGCAATTACAGAAAGATTTAGGTCTGAAAACTCAGCATGGATAATGATCCGGATACAGAAACAGAATTGCCCTTTACCCTAGACTCTACTGTTCAACAGAGTGCTTACCATTCAGGTGTAGCTATTTAAATTTAAATGAATTAAAATTAAATACAATTAAAATTCAGTTCCTCAGACATACTAGTGGCCACTGTATCAGACTGTACAGATTATAGAGCATTTTCATCATTGCAGAAGTTCTACTGAACAGTAATGAAAGAAGCATGTAACCTCCATTTAGCTATGGTAGGGTTTCCATGTGATGGGGAAGGAAAGGAGACCAAAAAAGTAAAAGAAAACCCAACAAAATCTCAACAAAAGGAGAACCTCCCAGAAGAAGAGGCTAGAAGAGTAAAGGTTAACTGATGACTGGTTATTCCTACCTGACTCTGTTTATCTAGTTTGACTGGTATTTGTTTCCTATAGCCTTAGCTACATGATTCGCTGTCAGGGACATAGAAAAGGTTGGCTAATTGGGAAATACAAAGGTAGAAGAGTTCAGTGATGCTATTACCTGGCATGGATTCTACTATTCAAATGTGCAGATTTAGAGATGGCTATGCTAATAATTTGACTTTCTAGGGAGTTTAGTATCATTTATAAAAGAATAGAAACTTTCCAAGTCACAGGATAAGTCTTGCATTAATTTGTAGCTGCCTGATGCAAATGCCTCTTTGCAGAACTTCTACAGGCCCTTCTCCTCACCACCCCTGGAATTCTGGGACCAGAGGTGATATAGTTGATTTTTAGGCCTCAACAACCATGAGGCTTCCCCACAATCAAATCCTTGAATGAATGAAAATATTCTTTGTATAGAATTGAAGCACATGCACAAATGGGTGTTGCTTTAAGCAGACTGTTTCTACATTGAAACTTTTTTCCCTAACTGTGACTTAAAGGTTTTTTCCTCTCCTAAAAGGGCATAGGGGCAGGTGCGTTGACACGTCTTGATCCCAGGACATGAACCTATAAGCTTGTCTATAAATTGATGAGGAAGGAAAATCTCACTCTGTCCTTTTAGTGGGCATGGAGGGTATTGATAGGATTCCTGCCATTGTGGCTAATGCTGAGAGGTATGTAGAGTAAAACTGGTGTTTTTAAGCAACTGAAATATCCACTAGAGGAGGGGTAACCAGGAAGAAAGGGAACAGGAAGAACAAAGCATCTTACCAAAGTCTAAAAGCCTTATCTCTGGTGCCTAGAGAGACTCCCAAGATCAAGTCATGCTTTCAAAACTCGTCTGATAATACTTAATATTTCTATTTTACCCAGTCTTCCTAGGAAGCACATCTTTATGCCGTAATTTGTGACAGCCTACTATGTTTCAATTAATGACATGGAAGACATCATTGACAGGCATGTTCTTTGTTCTTTATTATAGCTTAGCTTTGTTGGTCATTTTAGTATGTACCAGTTATAGATACTATTACATTTAAAGCATATAGCAAACATATAAAATATTACTGTTTTCCTTATTTTACAAATGAGGAAACTAAGGCTTAGAGAGACAAATATAATTGCCCAAGATTACAAATGCTAAAAAATAAAGTTGGGTCTGTCTAATTTCAAGTTCATACTCTTAACCAGTACACTTCCCAGTACAAGTATTACAAAATTTGAATACTTGTAAAGAATTATTGATTTAAATTTCATGTTTTTAATAAGTATGCTGTTACATCACTCCTCCTGTGAACTTTAAAAATAATTTCTGAATGCCTGTGGAGTTTGGTTTTCCTGATCAATTTCCCTTTAGAAATGGAAAAAAAGAGGGAGAGGGATGAAGTTGAATATTTTTAGCATGCAAGTTTAAACAGAGATACTGCATAACTGTAACATGAGATAAGAAAATGCACGTATGTGACTTTACATGTGCCTATCAGATTTCAGCTGCATTTTCTCTATTTAACCACCCTGAGTGGGTGTTGATCTGTATAAAAAGATTTCCTGAACATTTGATGTCTTACTTTAAAAATTTGGGTGAGGTGTGAAAACCCCGTATACTTCTCTTAAAGAAAAAAGTTAATTTCATAGGCTAGCCCTCATTTATCCAAATTGTTAAACCTATAAATTGGACGGAGTTCAGATTCTAAAACCCATTTATTCTCTGACCCTCAACCATTCCTGTCTTTCCTGAATGTCAAACAGAATTTTAAGGAAAATTAAGATCACATAGGGCTGGCCGGTTAGCTCAGTTGGTTAGAGAGTAGCCTTGTAACACCAAGGTCAAGGGTTTGGTTCTCTGTACCAGCCAGCTGCCAAGGGGAAAAAAAATCACACTGTTACATTACTGAGATGATGAGTTTAGGATAGTCAGTTGTAGGAATGATCATCTGCAATGAACCTAGCCTTGAGATCAAAACTGGATGATAACAGCACGTACCTTTTAAACTTGTAGATCAGAAACACAGCCAGGCCAACAAACACCACTGACAAGAGCATGAGCATTGCTGAGCTGCTATGCCCAGCACTGGAGTCCACCAGCGGAGCTAGGAGGAAAGAAGGGACATGTGCACTCGGAAGCTGTTAGCTAGAGGGAGCACCGCTTGGAGAAAGGAAGCCAACTGCTCTCCATCTTTACTTCTAGTCTCCAATTACCCTGCACGCTCTCTGGACACAGGAAGCTTGGCTTCCATGATAAGAATGATATCCCTGATCATAGCTTCCTAGGGGAAATGAATTTTTCTGTCAGGCCTGGGGAAACTTGCTGTTCTAGTGTAAACTGAACAATGTGTATCCGACTGAGAAGACAGTCTTGAACGTTCTCTTTCTTAGACAGCCCGTGTGCCTGTCAGCCTGATTATAGGCAGCCCATTTGAAATTTTGGGTTAAAAATTAATGCAATGTTTAATTTTCTTTCTCTACACTGTTTTAGTAAAACACCACTAGATGAACACATTTGGAACCTCCTCATCTGAAAAGTCATTTTACATTAATAAAAACCATTTAGCAAATAGGATCTCCCAGAGAGCCAGAAATAGATGTTCAATGGGACATGCCATTTTATACCTTTCATAAATAAAACAACTAGAGCTGGTCCCTGTTTCTACTAAGGCTCACACATTGTAAATTGGAAGGGAGTTTCAAAGTTATATGATCTGGACATGATTCACAGAATCAGAGAGTCATAGAAATTAAGAGAACTTGAAGACCACCTGATGTAATCCCAACTGTTGCATATAAAATAAAAACATATACACACACATACATAAATGAAGTCAAGACTCAAAGAAATTGTAGGTTTTCTTCAAGACCATTAAGGGATTCAGTGGCAAAGCCATTCTTAATAAAGTCTTTCTGCTACCTCCACAGGATGCTTCCACAGAGATATGATTAATCTTTTTGAAGCATCACTACACAAAAGGGCCCTCTTACAAGGCCATTTTCAGGCATTTATAGAGAAGTGTTTGGTGATATCTTCTCCCTCTCTTTCTAAGATAACAGATCATCAAACCCATATTCCCTGGTTCCTAGTGGCACTCACCTAATGTCAGCTGAGTGACATACACAATAACTTGAACCCCTGGCTTCAGCTCAAACTGGACCAAGTTTTGGTTGAGAGCATTAAACAGCATCTCTACAATCTGGAAAACAAAGAGAGGTTGCGTGGGAAGACATGCCAGGTTACACTGCCCCCTCAAGGGTAAGAAACCAAGAAGAAAGTCAGTAGTTTAAAAATGACCATGTTCAATCAGGGGGCAGGACACTGGAACATCTTTATCAATTTGGTTCTCACAGCCCTTGGAGCCCTGTGAAGACAAGGAAGTAGTTGGTATTATTTGCTTACACTGGAGAGGAGGCAGACTGGTATGTCTGTAGTTACCTGGTGAATGAGAGCTATAACAGACATAGGCGTTCCATTCAACTCCTAATTCAATGCTCTTTCATCCATGTCTTTATAACCTACTCTAGAAAGACCTGTTGCGGATTCCATAGAAAGAAAGTCAACCCATCATTAGCTCTTTAATCTGATCAAGTAATACACACAGGGTACAGAGGACCCTGCCAGGATTAAAGCAGGCACGTATGCCCCCAGCCCCCTCCTCTGCTTTTTCTATCTTAGACACAATGGGAAGCAAACATCAAAGCAGAAGCTGCCTCCATTTTATGGGATAATTTTTCCTCTTTACTTTTCCCCAGCAAGTCTCAGAACATATAACATCGATTTAATCACTCTGTAATTCCCACATGAAAGCTGAGGCAGACTTAGGCTGTTGTCCCTAACTCTTATCTCGCCGTACGCTCCTTAATATCACAGCTGCTATTCATCACCGTAATTACCTATTTATCTAAATGGATGGATATTGTAGCTTCCAAATATAGTTCACACATGCCACTTGCTATTTCAGAATAAAGAGGTCTTATAAAAGTGATGTATGCATTGAGAAGCTGAATTTATTTCTGGCCAACTTCAATATGCAACCCTGTAATAGGAGAAACTGCTTCATTTTCCAGAGAAATTAACTGCAGTGGTATCTATGCTGCTTGAGGACCAAGGGTGGACACAGGAACGGGGTGATGGCCGGGTGAGAGCCAAAGATGTGCAGAAGGTGTCTGTACGATGACTAGCTCACGCAGGAACAAATGTGTCTGATTTATGCCAATTTCAGCAGCCTCATTCTCTTCTGCTTCTCCAGGGAAGGGTGAAACAGAGTGCCACCAATAAGACTGCAACAAGGAGCAGGGATTGAGAGGGAGAAATGCCAGACCGGCCATCTCCTTTGCTTCCAGGATGGCATGCAGATCACAGGAACTATATGCCCGTTTCGTAAGGGCAGGAAATCACAACACTTTGGAAATGTTCCTTCCTTAGTCAAAGCAGGATGAGGCAATCCATCTCTCTCCAGAGAAACATGTTTAAAAGCAGTTCATTTTCTCCCCGGCAGCAGAACTTAAATTGACTAAGATCTCTAGGGCCAGTGCAATTTATAAGCAAGAAGCATATGTCCCCAGAAATAGATAGGAGAGCTCAAATTGCCCCCACCCCGCCATCTCTCTTTTTCTTTCTCTTTCTTTTCCACCCCCTCCCCATCCCTGCAAACACCCCAGGATGAGTCATTGGGAAGGAGACACAAGCAAGGTGCAGGGATGTCAACAGTTTGAATGAATGACACCAGGGGAGCTGGACCTTCCCGGGAAACGGAATGTTCCAGTCTATTTGCATTTGTATTTATTCTGTGCAGGGCTAAATGTTCTTCAAAACCCTAGGTGATGGGCAAAGAGTGACAAGCTGCTACATCGATGGGAGAGAGCTTGTCTCCCTTTCTGGCTGGAAACTACGTTATGTCCCCTCAGTGTGGGATGCAGACAAGTGTGCCAGCCAAGTTTTCTTCCACTTACTTGTTCCAGGTCCCCTTCATTGCCTTTCCTCCTCTCGGTCAAGTTCTTGGGTGGGAGAATGAAGAGCTCTGCTGAAGTGGGAAGGCCAGGGAACACGGCAACCAGGATCTGGTCTTCTGGGACACTGGTTACCTGCAGAGATGTTTAGACCAAAGAGTTAGGTCCTGGGAGAGCCAGCCTTCCCCAAATCAATAACAAGGAGCAGAGTGCGCATGGTTATAGGGCTCATATAGGTTTTTTTAGATGCAGTGTTTTAGGCACAGCTTGAATATATGTCCAGGCTTTCTTTCTGTTTTCCCCTAGAACTACTAAGAATGATCAGTTACACTACCTCCTCTTCTCTTATATACGTTTTTATTGAAACTAAAATACTATTACAAGTGATTTTCAAAACATTATTCGCTGGGAACATTTGCAAAAGTTCCTCCCATATTTTCCATTTTTCTGCACTAAGAGGACTAGAGCTTCAGGCTAAAACACAAACAGACTGGCTGCAAATGAGGAATAAGGAGTCATAAACAAACATAAGAAAATGCAAATTTAAAAAAGCAGAGCAGCACGTGTTTTCACTTATTAAAGCAAGATTTTTAAGAAAGAAAAAGTTTAGTAGCTAATATTGGTGAGGCTGCAGTAAAGGAGGCTCCCCTGTTTGTTGCTGGCAGCACTAAATCTTGATACACGTCACCAATTTGTTTTCCAAAAGGCATACTTTAAGGACATAAAAATATCCATTCCCTTCATTCAGTAACTGTAACTTGGTGAGTGTGTCCTAAAGACATGATCCAAAATACAGCAAAAGCCATATGTAGAAAAAAATACTCACACCATTATTTACAATGGTACGTAAATGAGGGAAAAACTCAAATATTCGAAAAAATTGGGCAAACGCCGGTATAATCACTGGATAGAATATTATCCTACCATTAAAATGATAATGAGTACCATAAGAAAACATGAAAAAACACTTTATTTAGCTGCATTCTGATCTATTTCTTTATATTTCTTTGGTTACAACTCTATAAAAATATAAATGTACTGAAGAAAAAAATAACAATATACTAAAAGTTGTTAAAAGGCTGAGATTATGCATGAATTTTTCTATTCCTGAGTGTGTGGTAAAAGTATTAGACTTTTGTGATGAAACTTAAAAGTAAGCTCCTGTCTGAAGGCCAGTTCCTAAAGAAGACATGATTCTGAGTTCTCCCCCTATAACGAATACAATTATCCTTTTGTATTTGTCTCCTAAAGGTCTTTTATCCAGAACACCACCACCTCTTCTGCCAGTCCAAACAAGATATATCATATATTACATCATATAATATATATATATTCGGCTGAATGCTTGCTTCCACCAAGAAGTCTCCTGGGCTGTGTCTGCCTGCAGTGACCTCCTCTACTTTAGTGCCCCACCCCAAGCACCTCTAGATTACATGTCCTTCACATCTCAGGGACATAGATCATGTCCACTGTGACATACGATTAGTCTGTCTGGTACAATCTTTTTCTCTGATAGGTTCTTATTTGTGTGCTTGCCCAGACATTCCTGGGGGTCTTGTGGCTACCTCACTGTTCCTAAATATGCTTGACACAAGCAGAAATTCAATAAACAGTTGCTGAAATGAATAGAAGAGGAGGGGTTGGTTGTCTCCCGTTTACTCAGCTCTGGTTCCTACTTGGAAGTAGGCTTACAGATTGATGTTAATTCTCAGGGATCTGCTAAAGAAAAGTGATAGAGGCAGGCTGCAGGGAAGTAAGCAGTGGCAGTCAGAAGCCTAAAAAGTCTGCCAGCCAGGGAGGCCGCCTCTTGGAATCCCAAGGTGGTTTGCCAGACCTCAGTGTCCTGCTGAGAGGCATGACCTTCAAGTAGCTGGAAATCTCAGTACCCAAGTCCATCGGGTAGGAAGGCCTTATCCTAACCATCCAGGGGAAACAAGTCTCAGGAGAAGAGGCTAAAGACCAAAATGCAGAGAATCACCCAATGGAGTGGAACAGGTTGAGCCTTTTAGTGCCTTGGCTGGTGGGAACATTTGTTTCTGGGAAGAGTAATCTCAGGGAGTGTCAGTCAGTCCGGGACCGTGGAGGAACCTGGGAGCTTTGTGTTTAGATTCACTTAATCTCAACCAAAGGGACATGTGAGTGACTAGCCATAGTGATAATTAAGGCCTAGGCATCAACTGATATGGCTAATTATTATTATTTAGAAGTGTTATTATTACAATTACCAAGTTATTTCTTGAAAAGATAGTAAGTTTTAGTAAAGACAACCATATGAAATACAACACAGTTCTGGATGCCTCGCAGTCAAAGACATGCTCTGGTCTACATATTTGTGCCCCACCCCAATTCATATGTTAAAACATAATCACCAGTGGGATGGTGTTAGCACATGGGGCCTTTAGGCAGTGATTAGGTCATGAGGGTGAAGCCCTCATGAAGGGCTTAGTGCCCTTATAAAAGAGACCCCAGACAGCTGCCTTGCCCTTCCACCATGTGAGGATGAAGCGAGAAGGCACCATCTATGAACCGAGAAACTGGCTCTCACCAGACATCAAATCTGCTTGAACTTTACAGCCTCCAGAATTGTGAAAACTAAGTTTCTGTTGTTTATATGCCAACCAATTTATGGTATCTTGTTATAGTAACCTGAGCAGACTAAGACAGCATACACAGCAGTCTCATTTTTCTTCTCTTCTATGAACAATCTCTTTGTAAAAAGATTTGAAGTTATATTCCTCTTGCAGACAACTCCCCACAGGAATGCTCTTATATCATTCTCTTTTATTTATGCTGCTTCCTTTCCTTCAGCTCCTTCTCTGCATCCTTCCCTGGATTTTTCTCCTCTGCCTTGGGGAGCACCAGTAGTCATGTGTGCTCTGCCCCCCACCCTCTGTGCAAGTCTAACGACCCCCACAGCCTCAGTTCAGACCTCTGCCTCCAGCATGAACCTCTGCTTGACCTTCAGAACCATATTTTGAACTCCCCTGCTCATCTTCACCCAATTGTTTCTCACATGCTGCAGATTCATGTTAAAAAGACCAAACCATTATGTTTCCAAAGAACGTTTCTCTTACATAGCCCCATCTTGATTAACGGCAAAGCCACCTCCCACCTGCTCTTATAATTACAAAGCACCTCCTTCCCTCCCATCCACACTGTAGTTCCTTAGTCACCAACTCTATTGTTCAACTTCCTACGTAGCCTTTGACACTTTCCACTTTAGGATCTTATTGTCTCTGGCCTAGATAACTGCAGTGGTCTTTTAACTGGATGTCTTCTGTAAAATTCCCAGCCTCCTCTGCCCCCCCACCATTCACTTCCTACCTCAGCAGCCTCTCCTCACTGGGTCACTGAAATACAAATCCCTTGGCAGCATTTTCTTACTTAAATAATAAAATAACACTTTTCATACTTCCCCGTGCTCATCAGATATGCCACGTTCCTTTTAGCTGCTTAGACCCTTTGCAGTCTGACCTAAGCATCCCAGCTCAACTTCAGCCACACTTGCCCTTACAATCTATAGATTACACCCAAACTTTGCCATTTCCCAAATATGCCTTACTTTTTCAATAGCGCATGGCTTTGCACAAGCCGTTTCTTCTACCTGAAAGACACCATCCTCTCCCTGTTAACTAACAGTTATCCTTTAAAAAACAGTTTGAGTATACCCTCCAAAACCTTTGCAATAGTTCAACACTATTGTATCGCAAATCTGTGCCAAGCCTGCGCTTCCCTGGACAGAGCGCATCACGCTTTTCTTCACGCTCCTTGGAGACGTCAGCCATGCAGCTACCAGAGAACTAGTCTCACATCACCTTGCTGCAGTGACCTGCTTCCTGGCCGGTAGCATTCTGAGTGCCACATATGGCCAGTGGTAGTCTCGTGAGTCTGGATGTCTGGTTAAGAAGATCCCTTTGATGGGCAAAGAGCCAGCCAAGTGCATAATATTAGTATAATAGACTAGATGAGTGGTTCATCCATTAGTTCATTAGAGAAGTCAAGAGGCTTTTTCAGAAAAATATGGAAGAAACATTAGGCCAATTTCCATCTTCAATCACTGAACTTGACACTCTCTCTCTCTCTCACTCCCTCCCTCTTTCCCTCTCTCTCTATTCTCACCCCTTCTTCTCCTCTCTTCACTCCCTCATCCCTCCTTTCTCTCTTTTTAAGGATAAATAATCCTTATCTAATTGTAGAACAATAGTTTTAATCGATGAAAATGTACTCTGGATCACACCATCTCGTTTTTTTTCTTTATTCACAAAAACAAAGACAAAGCCGACCTACCTTAACCAGAGCTCGCTCGATGACATTGCCAATATCTTGCCTCCACTCAGGAATGTCAGGGTTGTGGTAATCCAGATTGGGAGAGAATGACAAGAGCTGGGACTGGAAGTATTCTGCAGAGAGAGAGGGGTGTGAGTAAGGCTGGGGGGCTGGGGCAAGACAGGGTGTGATAGGCGAGGGGATCCCTAACCACTGTGATTAGGGAAAGGGGCCAGCCACTCTTTCATGAGCCTTCGGCTATAATTTCCCATTTTTAGCCTAAGACAGGGTGTGATAGGCGAGGGGATCCCTAACCACTGTGCTTAGGGAAAGGGGCCAGCCACTCTTTCATGAGCCTTCGGCTATAATTTCCCATTTTTAGCCTGTTTCTTGGCTTATGAATGTGGTGATTGGAATTAGATCTGTGCTCCTACCAGTTTTGTCAGTTCCTAAGATGTTCAGCCTTTCTTCCTGTAAAGAACGTTACATGAAATGAAAGATAAAGATGAAGCCCCAGAAGGAGTCTCCTGCTGCTGCAGGTGGTGTCACGCAGAACCACAGAGAGCATTAACAATTTGGGCTTGGCTGGAATGGACCTTTTTCACTTGTGCTTCCTCAGTCTTTTTGTCCATCAGGCTAGAAACTGCCCACATGATTAGAAGCAGGTTGAAAGTTCATGTCTGGGGCATGGGTAATGTTCAATTTCTTGACCTGGTTAAGGAGTACATACGTCTGTTCATTTTGTGGTAATTCATGAAGCTAAGCACTTGTGATCTATATATACACTTTTCTGTATAAAATTTTACACTTCAATATCAACATTTACTTAAAAAAAAAGTCTTCCAGGTGCCCAATGAAGAGCCAACAACCTGGGGTGAGGCTGAAGAAATGCAGTCTGAGTTGGAGGCTCACACAGTCTAGTACAACTTTAGAAAAGTGCCATGAGAGTGGCTGTGTCTAGAGACCTGGGAGAGGTTGTGTGGGATGGCAATAGAAGCATGATCGAATTTGTCTGAAATAAATTTAATAATTAAGAATGTTCCTTCAGTCTTGAGGACAGAATGGCGGCCCTCTTTATCACTCTTTTGCCTTTCTCTAAGCTTATATTCTTTGCCTTATTATCAAGCCTTTGCAGCCAATGATGTTAGAATCTTCACCACTAAAGAAAACACATCAGTCATCTGTAGGTCATCTCATTACCTGAGCAATGAGTTCTGCAAGGGCAGGGACATGACTGCAGCATTTGAAATCACTGGTCCCCCTCTCACACTGAAGGGGTGCTGTGCATGTGTTTAGATACACCAACAGAACATCAGATCTAGCACCTTCCATAACAGTCTTTCTAGCTTAGCAGCCCTTCAACTTATAATACATGTCTCCAATGAGAATCCCAAAGAGGTTGTGATGCAGAGACACTGCAGGGGACTACAAATACCTGTCTAGGATCTGCTTCTCTTAGAACCTTAACCTCTATCCAGCAACAAGGTAGGCGATACACTTGGATACCTTTTGCAGACCTACAGCATTTCCCTATGGCCTGGGGAATTTAAAGCAGTCAGCGATTGCACTAGGGTGGGTGGAGGGAATTAACTGGGCAGGAAGAAGCATCACAGGACAACTTCCAGGGCTTACCATGAACTGCAATATCTTTTGTGTCCTGAATAAGGGCATTCCCAGCGGCCACCTGGACAGTGATGGTGTTGGTTCCCTCTGCAAGGAATATGTAGGAAATGCTGCTGTCCAAGGTGATGAGGGGCTACAAGAAGAAGTAACAACACCCGTTTTGTCCTCTGTGGATATCAGATTTCCTTCCTTTCCTGTAAATTTCAGATATTCACAAATCTACATAGCAGATTAGAACCTAAGAGATATTAGCTTGAAAAAGGAAAAAAAATCGCACTTTATACAGTTTCCTAAAACTGTGATTATTATTCTGGTATCTAGGGAGAATATTAACATATGTGAAACACATTGTAAAATATTAATCCTGAGAGATGAAGATAAGACTGGACACCCTGGATTCTGCATGTCATTCTGTCCCTTCTCCTGAGGCAAAGAAGAAGCAGCTTTTGTAACCTGTTCTTGTTGCTCGAGAAATCAGAAATCATTTATCTTCTCTCCACTATTCAGTGCTTATATTTCCATCCTGTATTCTATCGAACTGTAAGACCTTCCAGAGAAGAGAGACATAGAATAATTATATTTTTTTCCTGGGGATTAGGATCTTGATAAAAGCAGGTGCTTATTGGAGAGAATAGAGTACAGCTCCTGATACCAAACAGTTATTATTCATCTTAAAGCCCGTGCCTTCTCAAGTTATCCGTTGTTCGGAAAATATAACAGTAGGAGGCTGATCTAAGGCAGCTGATGAAGAAATGCCACAAGCACAGATGAGCAGATTCCCTCTCCTCTCCTGTGTCAGGACAACAACAGGATAGAGAGTAGTAAGGCTGCCAATTGGGGGATGCACAGAAAAGATCTTTAAGGGGGTGGGTGGGGCAGCTGTCACTCTGCCTACCCATGCCTGGCCTAGAGACCTGCATGCCTAGCCCCGCAGAGGCTCCCAGATGTAGCTTTCAGTGTCCCACTGCAAGAATGAAGTTCATTTCTTGCTTAAAAGTTTCAACTGTACCTCTGAAATAATAATTTGATTTCTTCTGCTTTAAGATTCTATAGCTCTGTTTTATGACCAGGCTAATGGCTGGAGTTAAGCAGGATTAGAGATATTGTCCTAAACTTCTGATACCTTTTATTCTGTGTTTGCTAAATGAAAGAAAAGGGGAGTACACAAAGAGATACACTCCTTCCTTTAACTAAGAGTAAACCCCAGACTTCCTGCATTCTTCCCCATACTTATGGCCAGGTGATGATATACACCTGGGTGTGGCCTTCTGAATTAAACAACGATGAGGTGCTAGTAGGTTCTGTCATGGACATCGAATTCATTGGGCTGTGTAGAGTCCTGTTTTAAGAAGGAAGCTGAAGTCCAGTTGGTCTCAGCATAGCAATATGGGTCACAGCTATGGAATAAGGGTGTAGCAATACGTGTGCCACAGGGTTGCCATATACAGTGTAACTAGAACAGTAACTTGGAACTCTGAATCTGTTACTGGTTTAATGAATGACTGTGGGCAAAGTTTGTCCCAATTCTGGGCCGTAGTACTTTATCTGTTAAAAAAAGGGTTTGGAAGATCTAGTCAGAATCCATGGGGTTGAGGAATGACTTCAGGCAAAATTTCTAGCTCCTACTGATTAGCCCCTTAGGTCGGCTTCACTACCTTA